GGTCAGGGAAGCGAGTTGACCATAGTGACTTCGGTTTTGCTTTAATTTGATTTCCCTGGAGGAGGTTTTGTTCTGAGGTGCAGTATAAAGTAGCCTTTTTGGAGAGTACTGTCTGCAAATGTGTCCCGAGTCTGGGATTTTTTCCCTTGGTAGCCTCCCGCCTGCAGGACCATGGACAGCGCAGGACCCAGGGTGTGGGGCGCAGTGGCGCCTGCGCTGGGATTGTAGCGCCCTCTGGGGACGGCGTCCTGAAATGCAGCACAGTCCGAGATGGGAGGAAGTACCCGGGACCAGCTCCGCAGCCCAAGGAACGCAAAGACGCTGGTCAGAGAAGGTTCAGATCCCCTTTCTCCCCAGCAAAGCTTTCTGCGCTGATCAGGGAAGGTACAGATCTTCCTTCTCCCCGGCAAAGCCTCCTGGGCTCCCTCGGGGTCTCAGCTGCGGCCACTCCTGGGCTCTCCATCCTCTCTGGGACCCTGGCCCTCGCCCCTTCCTCCTCAGGACGCGGTCCAGGCCACACCTGCGCCCCCCAGGGTGGGGTCCTGTCAGACCCCCCACCTCTCCCTCCCGCACCTCCCACCGTCCCTGCCCTTCCAGCGCCCACCTATGCCCTCGTGCATTTCCGGGGTCTGGAGCCTGGGTGGGGCTGTCTGACGCCCTCCGTGTGGCATTAAGGATGAAGAGCAGGTGCGCACACCCTGCTGAATGAAGGAGAGGCGGGGGCGGATGGCGGGCCTGGGGATCTGGTTTTGGAGGGAAGAAGCTCAGGGAAAACCCGAACCGTCTCAGGCGAGAAGACAAGCATGAGGCTGACCAGAAACGAGTCCCCGGACCCCAGGCAGCCTCTCCAGTCCTGCCTGACCAAGGCTGGGAGCAAGGGGAAGGGGCGGTGGGGGCTCTGGCCTCGCAGGAGAAGGAGACCCCAGAAACCACAGGAACTCAGAAAAGTGAAGAGGGGGAAAAGGGAGGGGGCAGCGATGTGGAGAAACCCGTGAAATGAGGGAGGCGGTGCCACCCTCCTGGCTCCTGTCAGCTGGTCCCATGGATGTGAAATGCTCAAAGGCAGAGGTGGGACTGGGCCCAGGTTGGGGCCTTAGGGGTCAGCTCATTAAGGACCCCCCCCCCTCGGGGGAGTTCCCCTGGGGGAAGGAGGCTGGTGTCCCCAGATAAGGCTCAGGTTAGGTCACAGGGAAGCAGGGATCAAAGGGAAGGGCACACTGGGCGAGGTGGCTCACACCTGTAATCCCAGCACTTTGGGAAGCTGAGGCAGCTGGATCACCTTAAGTCACGAGTTCAAAACCAGCCTGGACAACACTGTGAAACCCCGTCTCTACTGAAAATACAAAAATTAGCTGGTTATGGCGGCAGGTACCCGTAATTTCAGCTACTTGGGAGGCTGAGGCAGGAGAATCGCTTGAACCTGGGAGGTGGAGGTTGCAGTGAGATCATGCCACTGCACTCCAGCCTGAGCAACAGAACGACCCTCTTTCTCTAAAACAAAGAAAAAGGCGGGGGAGGTGAATATTAGGGTCTGAATTGTATTCCCCTTCCCCTCACCAAATTTCTGTGTTGAAGTTTCAACCTCCAGTACCTAAGTACTTGCAGACAGAGTATTTAAAGAGATACAGTCATTCTGCTATATGTGTGGGGGATTGGTTCCAGGACCCCTGCCCCTTGGATACCAAATCCATGATGCTCAGCTCCCTCACCCAGTAGTGTTTGCATAGGAGCTCTGCACATCCTCCCATCTCCAGGTTACCTATCATACCTGATGCAGTGTAATGCCGTGTAAATAGCTGTTACACTGTAGTTTTAATTCGTGCTGTTTTTTGTGGTTATGTTGGCTTTGGCGGTTTTGTATTTGAATGCCATGATGGGCAGGTGGTTGGATCTCAGCATGTGGGACCCGTGCACACTGAGAGCCAACTGAAATCAGTTCACTAATTTGGACTAGCGTGGGCCTAGTCCAATATGACATAAGTTCTCGTAAGTTCTTAGAAGAGCAGGAGCTGAGGAAACAGACACCCATAGAGGGACGGCCATGTGAGGACACAGGGAGGCGTGGCATCTAGAGGCCAGGCAGAAACCTTGGGAAGAAGCATACCTTAGTTTTGGACATCTAGCCCAGAAGCGTGAGGTACTCAGTGTTAAGGATTGTTTCAGCCTCTCTGTCTGTGGCACGCTGTGACAGCAGCTCAAGAGACTAATACAGTGGATGGATGAGGCCATGGCCCACACCTGTAATCCCAGCACTTTGGGAGGCCGAGAGAGGAGGATCGCTGGAGCCCAGGAGTTGGAGACCAGCCTGGCCAACATGGTGAAACTCTGTCTCCACAAAAACTACAAAAATTAGCTTGGCGTGGTGGTACGTGCCTGTAATCCCAGCTAGTTGGGCGGACGAGGTGGGAGGATCACTTGAGCCCATAAGATTGAGGCTGCATTGAGCCATGATTGCACCACTGCACTCCAGCCTGGGCAACAGAGCAAGACCTTGTCTCAAAACCAAAACCAAAAATGTCATGGATGAAAGAACCAGGACAGGGCAGGGGCTGAGTTGCCTCCTCCAGGAGGCCTCTCCTGACTTCCCTCAACCAGGAAGAGCTGACCGCTCCAACCCCAGGTCCCATCTTGAATGTCTGTCCAGCATCTGGGTCATTTAAGGGGCCCTTCTATGCTTTCCTGTTTCTAGAAATATTCACTTACTTACCTGGCGTCCTGGAGGTGACCCACCATGGAGTATTTACCTCAAAGTCCCTCTGAAACTCAGCACCTGGTACGCAAGGTGTATGGAGGTTGAAAGAGGAGTTCTGTGTCTCTGTGTGACCCACACGGAGTCATTTCAGGAACAGCTCAGTGAATGGACAACATCTTGTAGAGTTTACTCCACTCATTGCAAAGTCCCGCTTCCCTAGTCTGTTTCCCACATGCCTCCCCCCACTCCCACCTTTCCTCAAACTTCTCCCATCAGCATTACTTTTGGGCATATGTGTTCTAATCCTGATGGGTGTCCCAGATGAATGGTAGAGGAGGAAGGGAGACTGGGAAGTGGACTGAGGCCCGGTGGGGGCCTGAGGATGCTTCTGGGGAGCAAGGATCAAGAGCTCACCAGGAAGCATGAAGTGTGGGAAGAAAGTTGCCCAGGTGCCAAGGCAAGAGACTGAAGGCACAATCTGTCCCAGTATAATCAATAACTGACTACTTCGTTTTAGCAGTGATACCAAATATATTTCGAAACAATCACATAATCAATTATAGAATCAATCCTATTAAATCATTATTCTTTATTAATCTTTGCTTTAGTATTACAGCATAGAATCATTTTAGTCTTATAGAAACAACCAGGCCAGGCGCGGTGGCTCACGCCTGTAATCCCAGCACTTTGGGAGGCTGAGGCGGGTGGATCGCGAGGTCAAGAGATCGAGACCATCCTGGTCAACATGGTGAAACCCCGTCTCCACTAAAAATACAAAAAAGTTAGCTGGGCATGGTGGTACACGCCTGTAATCCCAGCTACTCAGGAGGCTGAGGCAGGAGAATTGCCTGAACCCAGGGGGCGGAGGTTGCCGTGAGCCGAGAACGCGCCATTGCACTCCAGCTTGGGTAACAAGCAAAACTCCGTCTCAAAGAAAAGAAACAACCAGGTGAAATACAATTAGGAACGGAAGGGACATTGTGAGAATGATCAGGAGGCGAGAGTGAGAACCTTGTGGTAGCGCCAGCACCTGGGAAGGCGCCCATTATTTAGCAGGCCGTGAAGGGGAGTTTCCCTTTCACTGGGACAGTTCGGAGAACAGTCTGCTCTGCCCGGCTCTCGAGGAAGGCCTGACATTAGCCAGGCTGGCCTGCAGACATCCAGTGGCTTAAATGCCTCTCTGTGGTGCCGTGGTCCGGCAGTCACCATCCTTGTCCCCTTTCATGTTCCAGTTTCTCACCTGGAGCTCTTTTTAAGTTCTTAGAAGTTGTGAGAATAGCGGACTCCTAAAAGCCTTTGATCCTTCTGACAAGTGCATAGAAAGATGCTGACGTATGTGCCTCCCCTCCTTGCAGCGGCCACCTGAAAGGGAGGGCCCCCAGTACTGTAAGCATGTGATTTGTTTGACCTTGTCAAGCACGTCAGATGATTCACTCTCCTCACCCTGCCCTCCTGCCTTGTATACAATAAATATCAACGTGTCCCAGCATTTGGGGCCACAACTGGACTCTGTGCCTTGGTAGTAGTGGTCCCCCAGGCCCAGCTGAATTCTTCTCTTATCTCTGATTCTTGTGTCTTTCTTTCCTATGATCTATTGTCTCCGCACACAAAAGAACACCCACTAGACCCTGTGGGGCTGGACCCTGCAATGAAAGGCTGAGGCTGATACCACCCTAGGGTGGCCAGATTTAGAAAAAAGGAAATTCAACATGCTCAGTTAAATTGGAATCTTAGGCCGGGTGTGGTGGCTCACACCTGGAATCCCAGCACTTTGGGAGGCCAAGGCGGGCAGATCACTTGAGATCAGGAGTTCAAAACCAGCCTGGCCAACATGGTGAAACCCCATCTCTACTAAAACTACAAAAATTAGCTCGGCGTGGTGGCGGGCGCCTGTAACCCTAGGTACTCAAGAGGCTGAGGCAGGAGAATCATTTGAGTCCAGGAGGCAGAGGTTACAGTGAGCAGAGATCATGCCACTTCTCACACCAGCCTGGGTGACAGAGCGAGACTCTATCTCAAAAAATAAATTAATTAATTTGAATTTCAGATAAACAAATTTATTTTGCTTTTTGGTATAAGTATATCCCATGCAGCATTTAGGACATATTTATACTAAAAAATAAAAATAAAAACTTAATTTATCTTTCCTGTGAAATTCAACTTTAACCAGACATCTTGCATTTTATCTGACAAGACCAGCCTTCTCCAGAAACTGTCCCTTCCCCTGTACCCACCATCTCCACCACCAGTTACCCAGATAAGGGAAGCTCACTGTGGACTTTTACTTCTGCTTTTTCGATGACCCGGGGCCCAGAGGGAGAGCGCCCACCCCACTGCCCTACCCACAGCCAGGCCCCCAGGGCAGACACAAGCCTGCCCTCCCCTCCTGCACTGGGAGCTCTGGAAGGAGCAGCTCAACAAGCCCAAGGTCAGGCTGGGGCCCCAGGAGACCCAGAAGACAAGCGGGCAAGGTGGACAGGGGAATGCCAAGGAAGGGAAAGGAGTCTGTGACCTCAGGATCTGAAACTCATTTCACGCATCAGGCCCCAGGGCTCAGCTTCCGCCCTCAGCTTCCCCCTTCTGCCAAGAGCCCTGAGCCATTCACAGCACCACCAGAGCACCACCTGTCTGAGGCAGGTCTTTTATGCTGAGATGCTACTGCCGCTGCTGCTGTCCTCACTGCTGGGCGGTGAGTGGGCTGGGGGCCAGAAAGGACCTGGGGCGGAGCTAGGACTGGGGTTGCAGGTTGAGCCTGTGTCTCCCCATAGGGTCCCAGGCTATGGATGGGAGCTTCTCAATCCAAGTGCAGATGTTGGTGACAGTGCCACAGGGCCTGTGTGTCTCTGTGCCTTGCAACCTCTCCTACCCACGAAGGGACTGGACAGAGTCTACCCCAGCTTATGGCTACTGGTTCCGAGAAAGGGCTGAGACAAGCGAGGATGCTCCAGTGGCAACAAACCACCCGGATCGAGAGGTGGACATGAGCACCAGGGGCCGGTTCCAGCTCACAGGGGATCCCGGCAAGGGGAGCTGCTCCTTGGTGATCAGAGATGCGCAGATGCAGGACACGGGAGGGTACTTCTTTCGGGTGGAGAGAGGAAGCTATGTGAAATTCAACTTTTTGAACAGTTTCCATCTAAAAGTAACAGGTTTGGAATGGGGTGGGAACTCCTGCCTCTCACACTGGGGAGGGACCCTGGGCATGGGCTGAGCAGAGAGGGCTCTCAGGGACCCCTGCAGCACTAGCACCCCCCACCCTGTCTCTGTCCCAGCCCTGACTCAGAAGCCCGATGTCTACATCCCTGAGACCCTGGAGCCCGGGCGGCCGGTGACGGTCATCTGTGTGTTTAACTGGGCCTTCGAGAACTGTCCACTCCCTTCTATCTCCTGGATGGGGGCTGCCCTCTCCTCCAGAAGAACCAGACCAAGCAGCCCCCATTTCTCAGTGCTCAGCTTCATGCCCAGACCCCAGGACCATGACACCAACCTCACCTGCCAAGTGGACTTCTCCAGAACGGGTGTGAGTGCACAGAGGACCGTCCGACTCCACGTGGCCTGTGAGTGTGGCCTGGGACTGTGGGGCCTGCAGGCAGACCCGGGGGGTGGGGAGGTGGAGGCCAGCAGGGTAGTGAGTGGCTCCCAGCTCAGGAGGGTCCAGGGAGAGGAAGCTGTGGGGTCCCAGAAAGCCGGCGCAGCCCTGGGAGGGAATGGGAATGGCGTCTGGTCCTCTGTCCACACACGTGAGCCCCGACGCTGGCTGTCACTTGTCTTCTGGGATAGTCTCACTTTATTTTCCCCAGGGAGACTTTTTTGGTTGTGGGAACATACTGTCGCTCCCTGAAGCCAGCTCACAATCTTGTTGCAGACGCCCCCAGAGATGTTGTTATCAGCATTTCCCGTGACAACGTGCCAGGTACTGAGGGCCATCGGGCTGGGGCTGGGCCAGTCCCTAAAGAAGGAATGAAAAGCTTCAGGGGATGAGAGGATGTGCTCCTCCCTGTACCCCTTCTCGCTCTCTCTCTCCCTCCCTCTCTTTTTTTTCTCTGTCTCCAGCCCTGGAGCCCCAGCCCCAGGGAAATGTCCCATACCTGGAAGCCCAGAAAGGCCAGTTCCTGAGGCTCCTCTGTGCTGCTGACAGCCAGCCCCCCGCCACGCTGAGCTGGGTGCTGCAGGACAGAGTCCTCTCCTGGTCCCACCCCTGGGGACCCAGAACCCTGGGGCTGGAGCTTCCCCAGGTGAAGGCCGGGGATTCAGGCCGCTACATCTGCCGTGCGGAGAACAGGCTTGGCTCCCAGCAGCGAGCCCTGGACCTCTCTGTGCAGTGTGAGTGCCCAGGAGGGGCCGGGAGTCCATCTGGGAGGGCAGGATGGGTGGGGACACAGGGGCTGGATCTAAGTGCAGAGGTCAGTGACAGTGCCCAAGGGCCTGTGTGTCTCTGTGTCCTGCTCTTTCTCCTACTTCTAAAAGGACTGGACAGAGTCCACTCCAGCTTATGGCTACTGTTTCAAAGAAAGGACTGAGACAAGCAGAGTCAGGGCTCCAGAGCTGAGGGGGCCTGGAACCCCAGGCCTAAGGGACCGACCTCACCTGTGTAGACTCGTGCAGTGTGTGTCTGGGACTCAGTGGGTGATTCTGCTGTGCCCATCTATCCCCCCAACTTCCCCTCCTCAGTCTCCCAGGACAGTCCCCTTTACCCAGAGGGAAGCCCCTGGCCCATCTAGAGCTGATTCCGTCTCCATTTCAGATCCTCCAGAGAACCTGAGAGTGATGGTTTCCCAAGCAAACAGGACAGGTAGGAAAGGGGACAGAGGAGCCAGGGCCTCTCAGTGCTAAACTGGGGGCCCAGGAGTGTGGAGGGTCCCCACGCAGGAGGGTCCCTGCGCCCCAAGCTGTACATCGATTCTGCCTCTTCCTTCTCTAGTCCTGGAAAACCTTGGGAACGGCACATCCCTCCCGGTCCTGGAGGGCCAAAGCCTGCGCCTAGCCTGTGTCACCCACAGCAGTCCCCCAGCCAGGCTGAGCTGGACCCGGGGGGGACAGACCCTGAGCCCCTCCCCACCCTCAGACCCCGCGGTCCTGGAGCTGCCTCGGGTTCAAATGGAGCATGAAGGAGAGTTCACCTGCCACGCTCAGCACCCACTGGGGTCCCAGCACGTCTCTCTCAGCCTCTCTGTGCACTGTGAGTGGGGAAAGGGGGCACCTGGGTCCCAGGAAGGGGTCCCTGCTGAGTCCTGTCCTCCCTCCCCACAGACCCCCCACAGCTGCTGGGGCCCTCCTGCTCCTGGGAGGCTGAGAGTCTGCACTGCAGCTGCTCCTCCCAGGCCAGCCCGGCCCCCTCTCTGTGCTGGTGGCTTGGAGAGGAGCTGCTGGAGGGCAACAGCAGCCAGGACTCCTTCGAGGTCACCCTCAGCTCAACTGGGCCCTGGGCCAACAGCTCCCTGAGCCTCCGTGGAGGGCTCAGCTCTGGCCTCAGGCTCAGTTGTGAGGCCTGGAATGTCCATGGGGCCCAGAGCGGCTCCATCCTGCAGCTGCCAGGTTAGGGGGCCGCCTGGATGCTGAGATTCTTGGAGAAGCTGAGTGGGGCAGAGAGTAGGGTCCTGTGGTTGGAGCAGGGGCTGAGAGGGACACAGGAGAGCCATGGCATCTGTATGTAGACAGGAAAACACAATGGGAAGTCCTGGCGCCTGGGCTTGGTCACTCCAGCCTGGGCAACAGAGCGAGACTCCACCTCAGAGTAAACAGAGGAGTTGCAGATTCAATGTCTGCAATGGGAAATGGAAGCCTGAAGGCCGAGTGAGGAGTGGGCTCGTGAGCCCCACGTGGATGCGGGATACCACCTGACTCTCTCCGTGTGCAGATCAGAAGGGACTGGTCTCAAAGGAATTCTTCATCGGAGTGGTTCTGGGAATCATGATCATGGCTCTTCTTTTCCTCTGCCTCTCCCAGATCATGTAGGTTAAAAGGAGGAGTGGCGGGGTCTGGGGTCTGGACCCAGGAAGTGGAGAGGTGCAGCAGTGTACAAACAGGTGGATTTGTTTCCTTAGCATGAAGATTCTACTGAAGAAGCAAACTCAGGCAGAGACCCCAAGGCCCAGATTCTCCCGGCACAGCACCATCCTGGATTACATCAATGTGGTCCCGAAGGCCGGCCCCCGGGTGAGTGTCTGGGCCATGCTGCCTCTCCTCTTCTCTAAAGCTCACATCCACTTTCTGACTTTCGTACCCTTTGTCTTAGGGACATCAAGGTGGGAAAAACACCAGTGATAGCACTGAATTCATATCCTGGCTGGCACTGGCTGAGACCTCAGCCACGTCCCTCTCCTGCTCTGAGCCTTCATTTCTTCCTGTGTCCTTTGAGAGTTGGATTGAGGATTAAGCTGGGCGCGGTGGCTCACGCCTGCAATCCCAGCACTTTGGGAGGCTGAGATGGGCAGATCACAAGGTCAGGAGTTTGAGACCAGCCTGGCCAATATGGTGAAACCCCATCTTAACTAAAAATACAAAAGTTAGCTGGGCGTGGTGGCAGGTGCCTGTAGTCCCAGCTACTCGGGAGGTTGAGGCGGGAGAATTGCTGCAACCCGGTAGGCAGAGGTTACAATGAGCTGAGATCACGCCACTGCACTCCAGCCTGGGCAACAGAGCGAGACTCCGTCTTGAAAAAAAAAGAAAAAGAAAAAAAGAGAGTGTTGGTTTGAGGATTAGAACACATGCACTTTCTCAATATGTAGCCATTATTCCATTATTACCGTCACCAATTACTAATTACACTTAACAGCTTAACAATTATTCGTATCATCGGGAGACTGTACAGACTAGGGACTCGGCAGAGGGGTCTGAAGTCTGCCTGCCTGGCTTCAAATCCTGCTTCCACCACTGTGTGATGAAGCAAGTATCTTAACTTCTCCGTGCCTCAATTTCTTTAGCTGTAACATGGGGATAATACTAGTGGCCAACTCCTAGGATGATGCTAGATGTTAAATAGATTGTGCCTGTAGAATAAAATACTCAGAATATCACCAGGCCCCTGGGTAATACTCTGTAAATGCTGGAAATTATTAGGAGATAACATGCTGATGACTCTAAAGCTGTATCTCCTGGCTCCTTCCCTGAACTGCAGACTGTCTATGCAGCATCCACATGTGGGTATCTGATCAGCATTTCTTTTCTTTCCTTTCCTTTTTTTTTTTTGAGATGGAGTCTCACTCTGTTGCCCAGGCTGGAGTGCAGTGGCACAATCTCAGCTTATTATAACCTCCACCTCTCAGATTCAAGCGATTCTCCTGCTTCAGCCTCCTGAACATCTGGGACTACAGGCATGTATCACCATGCCGGGCTAATTTTCGTAGTTTTGATAGAGATGGGGTTTTGCTAAGTTGGCCAGGCTGGTCTCGAGCTTCCCTGGATGCCCTGTTAAACAGTCATCCCACCCTCCGTTTTGCTGACTTCTGACAGTGCTCAAATTTGTTGATGTCATTTGTCACTTACCAGTTATGGTACTTTTGCTAAGTATTCTCTGTTCCTGCTTCCAAGATGGAGTGCAAGCTCAGCAAATCGAGGCCAGGGACTTTGTTTCACTCTGTGCTATAAATCAGTGCCCAAACGGCTGGGCACAGTGGCTCACGCCTGTAATCCCAGCACTTTGGGAGGCCAAGGCAGGGGGATCACGAGGTCAGGAGATTGAGACCATCCTGGCTAACATGATGAAACCCCATTTCTACTAAAAATACAAAAAATTAGCCAGGTGTGGTGGCACATGCCTGAAGTCCCAGCTGCTCGGGAGGCTGAGGCAGAATCGCTTGAACCTGGAAGACCGAGGTTGCAGTGAGCCGAGATCACGCCACTGATCCAGCCTGGGCAACAGAGTGAGACTCGTCTCAAAAAAATAAAAAAATAAATGAAATCAGTGCCTAACATGTGCTCAAATATTTGCTGAATGAATGAATGAAGGATGGTGGTTCGTCCCTCAGGCTCAGAATCGGAATGAGAAGGCCACATCAAGCAGCCCTTCTCGGACACCTCCTCCACCAGGTGCTCCCTGCCCAGAATCAAAGAAGAACCAGAAAAAGCCATATCAGTTGTTCAGCTGCCCAGAACCCAAATCATCCACTCAAGCACCAGAATCCCAGGAGAGCCGAGAAGAGCTCCATTATGCCACGCTCAACTTCCCAGGACTCAGACCCAGGCCTGAGGCCCGGATGCCCAAGGGCACCCAGGCGGATTATGCGGAAGTCAAGTTCCATTGAGGGTCTCTTGGGCTTTAGGACTGGGACCTCGGCTAGGGAAGAAGGTAAAGTAATAAAGAATTTGAAGATAATAGAGTGCAAAGTCTCCCTCCCTCCCTCCCTCCCTCCCTCCCTCTCTCTCTCTCTCTCATTTAAAAAAAAAAAGCCTCCAAGTGGGCTGGGTGTGGTGGCTCATGCCTGTAATCCTAGCACTTTGGGAGGCCAAGGCGGATGGATTGCTTGAGCCCAGGAGTTTGAGATCAGCCTGGTCAACATGGTGAAACCCTGTCTCTACAAAAAGTACAAAACATAACTGGACGTGGTGGTGTGTTCCTGTAGTCCCAGCTGTCAGAGGCATTTGAACCAGAGGAACTCCATCTGGAACAGGAGCTGCGTAAAATGAGGCTGAGACCTACTGGGCTGCATTCTCAGACAGTGAAAGCATTCTAAGTCACAGGATGAGACAGGAGGTCGGCACAAGATACAGGTCATAAAGACCTTGCCGATAAAACAGGTTGCAGTAAAGAAGCTGGCCAAATCCCACCAAAGCCAAGATGGTGACGAGAGTGACCTCTGGTTGTTCTCACTGCTACACTCCCACCAGCACCATCACAGGTTGCAGATGCCATGGCAACTTCAGGAAGTTGCCCTATGTGGACTAAAAAGGGGAGGAATGAACAGTCCACCCCTTGTTTAGTATGTAATCGAGAAATAACCATAAAAGTGGGCAACCAGCAGCCCTCAGGGTTGCTCTGTCTATGGAGCAGTCCTTCTTTTGTTCCTTTACCACGTTAATAAACTTGCTTTCACTTTATGGCCTCACCCTGAATTCTTTCTTGTGTGAGATCCAAGAACCCTCTCTTGGGGTCTGGATCAGGACTGCTTTCCTGTAACAGCTACTTGGGAGGCTGAAGTAGGAGGGTCACTTGAGCCCAGGAGGCAGAGGCTGCCATGTGCCAAAATCACACCACTGCACTCCAGCCTGAGCAACAGAGTGAGACCCTGTCTCAAAAAAAAAAAAAAAATCCTCCACAGAGAGGGCATCCTATCCCAGACCTGGACATTTGAAACAGCCTGACAAATCTGTCCCAAGTGGCCTTCTCTGAATATGGTGTTCTGAGAAGACAGGCGAAGATTTGCCTCTGACACACCCCAACTCCAGCCCAGAGGATTACTAGATGACTAGACACAGCTGTTGTGGTGGCTCACACCTGTAATCCCAGCCCTTTGGGAGGCCAAGGTGGATGGATTGCTCGAGGCCAGGAGTTTGAAACCAGCCTGGCCAACTTGGTAAAACCCCATCTCTACTAAAAATACAAAAATTAGCTGGGCGTGGTGGTGCACACCTGTAGCCCCAGCTACTCAGGAGGCTGAGGCAGGAGATTTGCTCGAACCTGGGAGGCAGAGGTTGTAGTGAGCTGAGATCATGCCACTGCACTCCAGCCTTGGCAACAGAGGGAGATTGTTAAAAAAACAAACAAACTAGACAGGAGTCTGCCAACAAGCCTCCTACATCACCTCTGGCCTGCTGCCTATTCTCATAGCACCTGTAAGCTAGGAATGTTTTTACATTTTAAATGATTGGGGGGAAAGCTCAAAGAACAAGACTGTTTCACGGACCCTGGAAGGAGATGATTTCAGCACGGCACCCAGTCATGTTCATTGCTTTATACATTGCGGTTATTTTCATGCAAAGTTCAGTCACTAGCCTGCAAAGCCTAAAATATTTACCACCTGATCCTCTACAGATGTCTGCTAGATCTTAATATACATAAACTCATTTGTTTTCACAGAAGAGGAAGCAGGTGCAGAGGTCATTAAGAGTTCAAGAGTAGCCGTGGCAAAAATGACTAGATCTGTGACTAGAAGAAGGTTTTCAGGGTGAGGACTGGAAAAGCAGGAGACGGCGTGTGGGTGGGGTGCCAGTGCGCTCTCAGACCCACAAAGCTAAAGAAGTGCAAGCACATGCTGGGGTGGAGGAGGCGGCAATGCTTTGGAAAGGGAAGGAAGAACAACAAACTTACAACATGCTAAGCATTCTTCGGTGGCTCACACCAGTAATTCTAGCACTTTGGGTAGCCAAGGAGGGCGGATCACCTGAGGTCAGGCGTTTGAGACCAGCCTGGCCAACATGGTGAAACACTCGTCTCAACTAAAAAAATACAAATATTAGCCAGGTGTGGTGGCACACGCCTGTAATCCCAGCTCCTTGGAAGGCTGAGGCAGGATAACTGCTTGAACCTGGGAGGCGGAGGTTGCAGTAGCCAGGACTGCACCATTGCACTCCACCCTGGGTGACAGAGGAAGACTCTGTCTCAACAAAGAAAGAAAGAAAGAAAGAAAGAAAAGGAGGCCAGCATGGGAGTCTGGATCGCGCCTGTGAATAGCTACTGCACTCCAACCCTGGGCAACAAGCGAGACCCTGTCTCTAAAAAAAAAAAAAAGAAAAGAAAAGGAGGCCAGGTGCAGTGGCTCATGCCTGTAATCCCAGCACTTTGGGAGGCTGAGGTGGGCAGATCATCTAAGGTCAGGAGTTTGAGACCAGCCTGACCAACATGGAGAAACCCTCTACTAAAATTACAAAAACTTAGGTGTGGTGGCACATGCCTGTAATCCCAGCTACTCAGGAGGCTGAGGCAGGAGAATCGCTTGAACCGGGGAAGTGGAGGTTGTAGTGAGCCGAGATCGTGCCACTGCACTCTAGCCTGGGCAACAAGAACGAAACTCATCTCATTAAAAAAAAAAAAAGAACCAACAGAAAAATTCTTATTCAGGGCAGGGCACAGTGTGCTCACGCCTGTAATCCTAGGACTTCGGGAGGCAAGGCAGGTAGATCACTTGAGTCAGGGGCTCCAGACCAGCCTGCCTAACACGGGAAAACCCTGTCTCTACTAAAAATACAAAAATTAGCCGGGTGTGGTGGTGGGCACCTGTAATCCCAGCTACTTGGGAGGCTGAGGCAGAGGAATCACTTGAACCCAGGAGCTAGGTGTTGCAGTGAGCCAAGATCGAACCACTGCACTCCAGCCTGGGTGATAGAGCGAGACTCCATCTCAAACAAACAAAAACAAACAAGAAAGCAAACGAAAAACAGAAAATGTCCTATTCAACTTCTGCTAGGTATCATCTATACAGAAAAGGTCGTCTTTATTAAATAAGTCATACCCCCACTGCAAGTTTCAGCAGCAAAACGGCTCTGCGAAGAGTTTCTGCCATGGATTGAATGTTTATGTCCCTCCAAAATTCATGTTGAAATTTAATCCCCAATGCAAATAGTATGAAGAGACAGGGCCTTTAGGACGTGATTAGGTCATGAGGGCTCCTCCCTCATGTATGGGATTAAAGACTATAAAACAGGCTTCACACAGTGTTGGCCCTTTTTTGCCCTTCCACCTTCCATATAAGAGAGACACATCTTGGAAGCAGAGATCAGGCCCTCGCCAGATACTCAATCTGCTGGTGCCTTGATCTTGGACTTTGCAGCCTCCAGAACCATGAGAAATAATTTTTTTTTTTATTATTTAATTTTTATTTTATTTATTTATTTATTTTGAGATGGAGTTTTGCTCTTGTTGCCCAGGCTGGAGTACAATGGTGTGATCTCTGCTCACCACAACCTCTGCCTCCCTGGTTCAAGTGATTCTCCTACCTCAGCCTCCCAAGTAGCTGGTATTATAGGCATGCGCCACCATGCCTGGCTAATTTTGTATTTTTAGTAGAGACGGGGTTTCTCCATGTTGGTCAGGCTGGTCTCGAACTCTCAACCTCAAGTGATCCATCTACCTCGGCCTCCCAAAGTTCTGGGATTAAAGGTGTGAGCCGCCGCACCCAGCCATTTTTTTTTATTAAATATTATCTAGTTTGTGGTATTCTGTTATAGCAATATAAATGGACTAAGACAGCCTAACATGAAGATGGCACCACTCCTGCCCCAATCTCATGAGAGCTGAAGAAAGCACCGGCAGTGCTCACAATGGATTTTGGAACAGGCAGAGAGGAACTCTCCCAAGTAGTAATTCCCACACCTACATCAATAGCCTCTACCTCCAGTAAAGCACCACATTAATTTCTTCTTCTTTTTTTTTTTTTTTTTTTGAGACAGAGTCCTGCTCTGTCACCCAGGCTGGAGTGCAGTGGCACAATCTTGGCTTACTGAAACCTCTGCCTTCGGGCTTCAAGAGATTATCCTGCCTCAGCCTCATGAGTAGCTGGGATTACAGGTATGTGCAACCACATCTGACTAGTTTTTGTATTTTTTAGTAGAGATGGGGTTTCACCATGTTGGCCAGGTTGGTCTTGAACTCCTGACCTTGTGATCCGCCCACCCTGGCCTCCCAAAGTGCCAGAATTTTACAGGCATGAGCAATTTTACACACCTGGCCTTAAATTTTTTGTAGAAATGGGTCTTACATCGTTGCCCATGCTGATTGCAAATTCCTGGCCTCAAGCAGCTCTCCTGCCTCAGCTACCCAGGAGACAAGGATGACAGGCATGAGCCACCATACCCAGCCCACATGTATTCCTTGTTTCCCAGACCTCTCTGTGTGGATACCCTATAAGCACCTTAACATGTCCAAAACACATGCATTATCTTCCCATGCTCTCCTAAATGCTCCCAGCATGAAAGCACTTCTTGCCCTTATATCCTTGATCTTAGCTCACCATGCCACCATTGCCCAAACTCGAAATCTTAGGGACAACTTTGACTTGTCCCTCATTCCACATGTTGGCAACTCCCAGCCATTCTTCTACCTAAGTATCAGGTGGTGCTGCCTCCTCCACCCTCCCAGCTCCCGCTAATCCTGATGTTCTATCACTTGGACTGTGTACACATATGTATGTTAAAAGCAGAGATGCCCACGTGCCACGGCGCTTAATGAGAACAAGCTCCATGCTGAGCACTTTATATACACGACCCTGTTCAAATGTCATAGCAACTCTGAGAGGAGTGTTATCAGCCAGCCCCGAGTGAAACTGAAGCTTAGAGAGGCTAAGCGAATTACCCAAGGTGATTCAGCTTTTCAGGGGCAGAGTCAGTATGGGACATCACTGAAGCACTTCAGTTGCACTCCTCACCCATGATCTGTACTTTCTTGTACTTCCTCTCCTTATGACAATGAAGAACTAAGGCTTAGGCCGGGCGCGGTTGCTCTCGCCTGCTATCCCAGCACTTTGGGAGGCCCAGGTGGGTGGATCACTTGAGTTCAGGAGTTTGAGACCAGCCTGGCCAACATGGTGAAACCCCATCTCTACTAAAAATACAAAAATTAGCCAGTCCTGGTGTCGGGCGCCTGTAATCCCAGCTACTCGGGAGGCTGAGGCAGGAGAATCACTTGAATCCAAGAGGAGGAGATTGCAGTAAGCTGAGATTGCACCATTGCACTCCAGCCTGGGCAAAAGAACGAGAGTCAGTCTCCTCAAAAACGCAAACAAACAAAGGTGACCCCCAAAACTTGATGCCTTGACGGGGCTGAGAGGGGAGAAGCTGGGTGAGGGCCAGGGCCTCTAAATGTGGGGAGATTTTAGGGAAGGAAGCAAAGATGACCTCCTAGACCTAAAAGAGGAGAGGTCATGAGGTTAGGGGAGGCAGTGGGAGGCGCCCACCTTGCCCTTGGAAGTGTCCCCAAGTGTAAGGGGTTGATTGGGAAAGAGCAGGAACCTCAGGATCTCCAAGGAAGAAGGGGGATAGGGGAGGAGGGGGAGTTAAGGAAATCTGTGAGCCCCTGCATAAGGTCGAAGCTTGGAACTTTGAGGGTCTAAAAATCAGTAGGGATGGGGTTTGGGGAGTGAAAGGAAAGGGCTGGTTCTAAGCGG